GACAGGGGGAGTGCATCCTTGTTGGTTCTTCTGGACCTCTCAGTGGCTTTCGATACCATCGACCATGGTATCCTTCTGAATAGGCTAGCGGGATTGGGAGTTGGAGGCACCACATGGCGGTGGTTCCGCTCCTATCTCAATGGCCGATTTCAGAAGGTGGTGCTGGGGGACTGTGGCTCTGCGCCATGGCAGTTATGCCATGGAGTTCCGCAGGGGTCCATTTTGTCCCCTTTGCTTTTTAACATCTGCATGAAACCGCTGGGAGAGGTCATCAGGAGGTGTGGGCTGCGGAATCACCAGTACGCTGACGATACCCAGCTCTACCTCTCGTTTTCCACCAACCCAGGTGAGGCAGTGGCTGTGCTGAACCGGTGCCTGGCCGAGGTAATGGGCTGGATGAGGGCCAATAAACTGAAGCTCAATCCAGACAAGACGGAGGTCCTGTTGGTGGGTGGATCAGACCTCAGGATGGGGGACTTAGGCCTTGTCCTAAATGGGGTTGCACTCCCTCTGAGGGACAGGGTTCGCAGTGCTCCTCGACCCTGAGCTGTCTTTGGAAGCTCAGGTGACGGCGGTGGTGAGGAGCGCCTTCCTTCAGCTTTGGATGATACATCAGCTGCGTCCCTTCCTAGAGCATGATTGCCTGGTGACAGTGACACACGCGCTGGTAACTTCCCGATTAGATTTCTGTAACGCGCTCTACATGGGGCTACCCTTGAAGACGGTCCAGATACTTCAATTGGTGCAGAATAGAGCTGCCGGGCTGCTGATGGGGACTGGGCGTTGTTCTCATATAACCCCAGTTCTTTGTCAGCTCCACTGGCTCCTGATTGAAGTCTGGACCCAATTCAAGGTGTTGGTTATGACCTATAAAGCCCTCAATGGCTTGGGACCTGGTTATCTAAAGGAACGTTTGCACCCATATATGCCCTCCCGCCCCTTGAGGTCAGCAGCAGATGCCGTCCTCCAGGAACCCTCTGTGAATGAGATTAGGAGGGTGAGCACCTGGAGGAGGGCTTTCTCTGTGGTGGCGGCCCATCTATGGAATGCGCTCCCCATAGAGGTCCGCCTGGCGCCATCGTTATTTGTTTTTATTTAAAACTTATTTTAACTGTTAATTATTTATTAACTAGGTTTTTTTAAACGGAGAATGCACTGGGGGGGGTGTTATTTATTGTATAATTTGTATTTATTTATTTTATTCTGTATTTATGTGTTGTGAGCCGCCCCGAGACTTTGTTGCGATGGGGCGGCATAGAAATGTTTTAAATAAATTAAATAAATAAATAATGCTGATCCCTAGTTTAGCATTACATACCTGTGCTCCTTACCTGCCCTCTCTTCCAGCGTGGGAGTGTGAACAATAGAGTGGGTGTATTCCCTTTCATTTTCAGCTAACTACAGCTTATCATAAGGACAGTTTTCAAATCATGGTAGTACTACTAATTTGTTTAAGCCAGAAATTGCCAGAGGCTTCATGAGTGCTTGTCATTTCCACTTTTAATTACCAACCCAGGGGCACCCTATCCTGAGTGTTTCCTGATGTACAAACCTGGAAACTGTGGGTTGTTCATGGATTAAACAACCCAGAGTTAGCCCAACAACTGACCATAGTTTGTTGTTGGGTTAACTCTGGGTTGCATGTCACAAAACATCTCACAAATGAGGGTGTTCTGGGGTTGTTACCTGAAATCAGAAATGGCTTGTGTGTAGCACAGATGCTCCACTCATCACTATATGCATGGTTAAACAACCCAGGAATTGTAGCATGGCATGCAAGCCAAGTCATTATGTCCAAATGGGAACAAACTGGTTTGTCTGAACAAACTAATTTCAAACTGTGACTTATGATCCTGGTTTATTAAAATAAACTATAGTTAAGACCAACCACAGTGACTCTCTCTTTGCTTGTAATAACCAGCTATGGCTAGTTGAAAATGAAAGTGAAGGTTTCCATTTTCTCTTAGCTAGGCCAGACAGAGAAAAAGCACAAGAGCCTGAGTCTTGTTCATGTAGGACCAGCTGTGATTTAGTGTTATGTCTGAATGCTGTCTTGGAAATTTTATTGACCAATATGCTTATTTTGCCCAGCCCATTCACGTTCAGATAGTGACAGGTGGTGAACAAAGACTTCTGTGGACCACAAAACCCAGCTAGAGAAATTAGAATCATTAGCCTCTCTGGGTTTTGCAGTTTCACCAAACACTGTCCAGGAGAGTTTTACACTTCTTTACTGTGCGCTCAATCAATCAGAGTGCCTACCCCCCCAACCCCCCCACTCCCTCCTATTCTCAGATTTTTGCTTCTTTGAAAAAAAATCAAACAGTTGATTGTTCAATAGTACTTACATTAAAATCTTCCCAAAAGACTTGTGAATTAATACTCTTTTCCACTGAAAGGGAACTGAAGCTGAAAGTTCTGCAAAATAGAGTAACATTTTCCAGGTGGCTCAGGGTCTAGTATTGGTTCCGTATTGCATTTACTACTGACAATGTATTTGAACTTCATGTGCAAAAGCCGGGTATCAGCCATTTTGTCAAATTACAGGAGACAAAGGTAGGAAGCAGGGCTAGTCCTGCAGCCCTACTGGAAGATCAGGCTCCTTTTTCTTGGTTTCCAGCAGGTCAGCATCAATTCTACTAGCTTAAGGACTGGTACCCGACTTGCTTTTTTCCTCTTTCCTCCCATCACCTTTTCCTTTTGTGTTGTGTCCTTTAGATGGTAAGCATGTAGACATATCTAAGCTGCTCTAAGAGCCTTTTCAGCTGAAAAGTAAAATGCTTTAAATGGAGTGGCTTTTTCAATGTCAGTTAGCAAGTTCATGGCCAAGTTGAGTTTTTGAGTAGTTTCTCAAGTTGAAGCCCCATTGTATGATTCTTTAGCTCCACTGTGTGCCATGTACATGGGACAGGAATAAGTGTGCTTGCACAGGGACTGGGTTCACAGGGTTTGCTAAGTCACCAGTGAGCTTCCTGTGAGAAGGCTCCATCAGAAAGCCATGTGTTTGTCAGACTCATCATGAGCTTTGGCCTAAAAATACCACTCTGTTGCTTTCTATGCAGCTTGTTGTTTCATGCAAACCTGCCCAATTTTGTGCCTACTTAAGTATGGAAGTAGGCACAAAATTCAGCACACTGAGCATCTCCACCCCACATATGGCATATCTCCAATGTTCATTTATATTTTTAATTTTAATGTTAGTTTCTAGTACTTTTGGGCAGCCAATTTTTTTTTATGAAGTGTGGCGGTGGTGCTTGGTGAACTTGCAGAAGCTTAATGGATGAGTATGGTTTCCATTGGTCAGCAGAAGCAGAAAAAGTATGACAAGTGAATAGATGTTTGCAGATTTGCATGTGACCTTTACAGGTTTCAGAATTCATCTTTTCTTGGTGCTGTGAGTGTGTGTGTGTATATCCTGGTGAGGGAGTTCTTGCCACTTCCTGATCTGCAAGAAGATCTAATGCTTTTATTGCCTGGATCTTTCCAGATTTCAAGAAAAAGATCCACTTTAAAGTCATCCGGAACCCGGGGGACTTAGTTCAGTTCATCCATGACTTGAAACAGAATGCCAAGAAGGTAAGATTCCAAAGCAAGTCTTGCTACTTCTTGGGCTGGCTTAGGTTATTGCTAGGCAAGCTTTTTCGATATACATGTGGAATTGCTTTCAGTGTGAAGCTTCCTAGTTCAGGGACCATGTGCCACTGAACAGTTGTTGCTAGGAAGCAGCAGTGGGGAGAAAGAGCTGCTGCCATTATGCCCTGCCTGGGTGCTTTCCAGAAGCATCTGGTTGGACACCGTGGAATGCAGGGAGATAGGCAAAAGAGATCTTTCATCTGAGCCCCTTTTAACATTTCACCCTACTGATAACAATTTATCATCACTATGCAGCAGATCCCATGACTATCAATACTGCTAAAAAAGCTCATACAATTTCTTAATGACAAACATAATGTTTAAGCCCATAAACTGCTGTGCTGTTGCTTCTACTTTTTAAGCCAAGTTTCTAGCACATGGGACTGCAAGAACAACTGGGTCACTTTTAAAAATTGATCTTTTAAATTACTTTATCATTTGTTTCTTATTTCTTTATCTGGCTTTATTCTATTGTTTTATTGTTTAAAATAAACATTGTATTTTAACTAATGCCTTTGATGGTAAGCTGTCCAGACAGCCTTTTTTGGTTAAGGGTGCAGCATGTAAATCATAATGTTTGAAAATGCATGCACAGGATCTGGGTAAATCTCTGGTTTAAGGAACAAGCATACTTAGGTCCCCTGCGTGGCATTTTGTCCCTACCATAATAAACAGGCAATGTAGCATGCACACGAGCTTAATTGGCTTGGGTTTTGTTAAAAAGGCTTACTTCCACAGGTTTGGAAAAATCTCATTCCTATTACTTTTAAGGCAGGCATACAGAGGCCATCTACCCCCTTAGAATTTCTGAGCATCTCTTTGTCCTTTCAGAGCAAAGAGAAGTCTAGTGAATCAGAGGAAGCATCGCCAGAACCGCCCTCAAAAAGTGAGCCACCAGTGGGAACGGAGCACCTGGAAGATGAGGCCCAGGATGATGATGAGGATGAGGAAGATCTGCTAGGGAAGTTTGAGAAGGAGCTGGAAGATATCTTGCTGCCTAACTCTGAAATGGCCAAGCTGAAAGAAGAGGTGAAGTCTGAGATGGAGAAGGAGTTTGATCACATTATTGATGAGGTCAGGATCCATGAAACTCTCTGTCGCCTTTCTGCTGTGCTTTTCCCACACCCAGTCCAGGATGTTCTGTCTCTGTCCCTGTTTGTGTACCCCTTGCCTTCAGTGTGCTGAGAAGCAGGAGCATTTGGGGGGCTGTGCTTTAGAAAAAAAAGGAAGGGGAAGTGAACACTATGATCTGTGTCAAGGGTCATTGATTAGGCTGGCTAATATTTATTTATTAGATGTATATCCCACCTTTTTCTTTTTTAAAGACAAGAGATGGGCCTTTGCAGCAGGCTCTCTGATGCTTTGAAACTCCCTTCCTCTTGACATGTGCCTATTCCTTTTTGCAAAGGCATTGGGGCAGAGACTGAAGACCTTTCTGTTTAAAGCTGTGTTCAGTTGAATGGTCTATGCCGTCAGAGCAGCTCTGCAGTGGATCCATGATGCTTGCTATGTGGCTTTTGCCTCTTGTATTATTTCTTTGGGATACTTCTATTCTGCCCCATTCGCATAAGCCTCGGGGCGGCTTCCATCAAATAAATAACAATTCAAAAATATAAAAATTGGACACATCCAGGCAATAAATAAAACCAATAAATAATTTAACAATGAATTAAAATGCTGTTTAAATAAAAAGGTCTTGGCCTGGCGCCGAAAAAAAAAATGACGGCGCCAGGCGGACCTTTCTGGAGAGCGCATTCCATAAGTGGTGCGCCACTGCAGAGAAGGCCCTCCTCCAGGTACTCATCTTTCACGGAGGGTTCCCGGAGAAGGGCCTCTGCCACTGATCTCAAGAGGTGGGAGGGCATATATGGACGCAAGCGCTCCTTTAGATACCCAGGTCCCAAGTTGCTTAGGGCTTTATAGGTAATCACCAGCACCTTGAATTGGGCCCGGACTTCAATGGGGAGCCAGTGAAGCTGACAGAGGACTGGGGTTATATGAGAACAACGCCCAGTCCCCATCAGCAGCCCGGCAGCTCTATTCTGCACCAATTGAAGTATCCAGACCGTCTTCAGGGGCAGCCCCACATAGAGTGCATTACAGAAGTCTAATCGGGAAGTAACCAATGCATGTATCACTGTCGCCAGGCAGTCGTCCTCCAGGTAGGGACACAGCTGATGGATTAGCCGAAGCTGATGGAAAGCGCTCCTCACCACTGCTGACACTTGAGCTTCCAAAGCCAGCTCCGGATTGAGGAGCACTCCCAAGCTGCAGACCCTGTCCCTCAGAGGGAGTGCTACCCCATTCAGGACAAGGTCCAGGTCCCCCACCCCAGAGCCCGAACCACCCACCAACAGGACCTCCGTCTTGTCTGGATTGAGCTTCATTTTGTTGGCCCTCATCCAGCCCATTACCTTGGCCAGGCACCGGTTCAGTACAGCCACTGCCTCACCTGGATTGGTTGAGAAAGAGAGGTAGAGCTGGGTATCATCAGCGTACTGATGATTCCGCAGCCCACACCTCCTAATAACCTCTCCTAACGGTTTCATGTAGATGTTGAATAGCAAGGGGGACAAAATAGCGCCCTGCGGTACTCCATGGCATAGCTGCCATGGCACAGAGCCATAGTCCCCCAGCACCACCTTCTGGAATCGGCCATTGAGATAGGAGCGGAACCACTGCAAAGCAGTGCCCCCTATTCCCAATCCCGCTAGCCTATCCAGAAGGATACCATGGTCGATGGTATCGAAAGCCACTGAGAGGTCCAGGAGAATCAACAGGGACGCACTCCCCCTGTCTTTCTCCCTGCACAGGTCATCATACAGGGCAACCAAGGCAGATTCAGTACCATAACCGGGTATGAAGCCGGACTGAAATGGGTCCAGATAATCAGTTTCATCCAAGAGTGCTTGGAGTTGTCCCGCCACCACCTGCTATAACACCTTGCCCAAGAACGGGATATTGGCCACCGCTCTATAATTGGTGGCCATCTCTGGAACCGGAGATGCCTTCTTTAGGACTGGCTGGACTACTGCTTCCTTTAAAGGGGCAGGTACTAGGCCATCCCTCAGAGAGGAGTGAAAACCTCCAGGATCCAGATTCCTATCCCGTCCTTGGCTTTGTTAAGTAGCCAAGATGGGCAAGGGTCCAATAAGCAGGTGGTGGGACGTACTTGTCCAAACACCTTGTCCACATCATCAGGCCACAATAACTGAAACTCATCCAACAATTTAGGACCAGACAGCAACATTGGTTCCTTCCCTGAAGGCTCTGAGTTACTAGTGGAGTCCAGCTCGTGACGAATCTGAGCGATTTTCTCCTTAAAATGCTTGGCAAAGTCGTCACAGTGGGCCGTCGAAGGCGGTATAGGATATTTCTTAGGGCCTGATGAACCAGCCCATTTACCACCCAAAAAAGCTCCGCTGGACGGCATTGTGAGGAGGCAATGGAAGCGGAGAAGAATTTCTTCTTTGCCGTCCTCACCGCCACAGCATAGGCCCGATAGTGGGCTCTTAAGTGTGTTCGGGCAGATTCATCCTGTGATCTCCTCCACCTACACTCTAGACATCTCCCAACCCGCTTCATCGCCCTAATTCAGGAGTGTACCAAGGGGATGAACGGGCTCTGCCAGGCGGGAGAGGATGCTTAGGAGCAATCGTGTCAATAGCCCTGGTCATTTCCCCATTCCACAGTCTGACCAGAGCCTCGACAGGAGCACCAGCCTTATCAACTGGAAATTCCCCCCAGAGCCTTCAGGAATCCATCTGGATCCATCCGGCTCCAGGGGCGGACCCACACAATAGGGTCCGCACCCTTACAGAGGGAAAGGCCACTCTCGAGCTCAAACCTCACGAGGAAGTATTAGAAGTATCTTGTATTAGACTGGGCTTTTGTCTTATACATTGTTTTGAGAGCTGTAGCTTTGGAAAGCAGTTTAAAAAAAATTCCATGGAAGCCTTGAGGATCGGATGCATCTGAACTCGGAGGTGTCAGATCAGCCTGTGCAGAATAGGAAGGCGCAGCGGAAGCAATCTTTGCCTCCTTCCACCCAGTAGTTTCATCAGATAGGCTTTTTTTCCTGTCTAATAAGGATGGTAGAGTGGGAGATGGAAGGAGGCTAGAATAGACACAGATTGCTTGTATCCTGGTCTCTCCATTTTCCTCCTTTCCTTGCCCACCAAAATTCCACCTTCCTGAGGCTGATTTTCTGACCTTGAAGGAGAGTTTTTTCCATTCAGGCAAAGAGTGGGTGGGGGAGTGAGGTCAGATCTCTGGCTGTGCAGCTTAGATGGCTTTCTGAAAAGACTAGATTACAGTCGACAACATACTTGGCTGTGGACACATTTAGCTTCCACAGAAAGGGCAGCAAGCAACAAGTGACTGAGTAGAAGGCAAAGGTGGGGTCCGAGCCCCAGTGCACTAAACTCCTTTTCAGCACCAGCAATAGCCCATTTCACAGCAATCCCAGCCTCTCTTCTGAATTCCCAGATTCCTGCCTGGATTTCACACATTTATCATGCTGGCCTACCTTCCTCCCCCAGCCCATGTTGCTGGTGTATAACCAGGCCACAAAGGACACAGTACAGGGCAATACATCAAGGCTACAAAAATTCTGTCCTTTTCTGCCACTTCTTGCAGACACTTAGTGCATTAAAAGGTATATTTCTAGAGTCCCAAGAACTAGAAACTTGCTTTAAACTAGTTTTAAGAATCCAGATCCTGCGCTGAATTGTAAGAAATAACAACAATTGTACATTATATTTATGACCCACCTTTCTCCACACAAATCTTGACCTGTATTTTCTCTGCTTGTTTGCTTTGTAGGTGGAGGATGAGCTGGAAACGGAAGGCCTGAAAGGTGAGTTTGATCGAAAACAAGCCTCCAAGTCTTTGGCTTCAACCCTCAACAAACTCATTGACAAGCTGGATTCTGGCAAAGTCCCAAATAAGGGGGATAAGGAACAGGAGCGCCCTGAGGAGGAAGAGGAGATGTCTGCAGGAGGCAGTGCTGCTAAGGAAAGGGCAGCCAAGCCAGCAACAGGTATGTTCCTGTTCCAAAGATCTGTTTTTGTGAAGTCAGCAGTCTGTGTGGTTCTGGCTAAGCCTGGAGAAGCCAGCAGGGCGCACTGTTTTGCCACAGGCAGCATTGCAAGGAATGTGCAGCATGCTCACATGCTTGATCGAGGCAGGAAGGCTGGGGCTGGCCTGCATCAGCCTTGTCCAATAAGGTGCCCAGCAAATGCACTTGACTGCAAGTCCCGCAGTGCTCAGGCAGCCTGTTGGCATTGATGGGAGTTGCAGTCCAACACATCTGCAGGGCATCAGGTTGGGCAAGGCTGCCCTACAGTGTGAAGGCAAGTGACTAGGAAGCTGGTATAACTAGGAAACAGGAACAGCTAGAAATTGATGCTCTTTTGAACATTCTAAGGGGGAGATGACTTGGGAACCTTCCCCTGCTCATGTTCTTGAACTTCTTGTGGGCCCCAGTCTGGAAAAGCAGCCAGGGATGCTCATGGTGGGGCTGAACAAATATTTGGGCACAGTTCTTGAGGTGTGTCTTGCCATAGTTCACTTCTGCTGGCTCCTCCTGGGAGTCTTCTATGGGCACTTGCCCATGACTGAGGATGTGGCTCTGCAGCCATTTTCCACTCGGCTTCCCTCGCTGCTGGCCAAGGACACATGCAGGACAAAAGACTGTGGCCACCGGAAGCATCTCCTAGTGAAGCTCGCTGGTTTCTGGGGCTAAAAAGGCATTGCCAAGCACTGACGAGATCCCTGCTCCTCAGTTTGCTGCTGCTGCTGCTACTGCTGCTGCTCAGCCGTTTTGCCAGTTCCTAGGTAAAGGGAATAATTCTTTGCCTTTAAAGAGGTTTTGACTTCCTAGGTCATGCTCCGATTCCCAGTTTTTGGCTTTTGCCTTTGCCTAATGCTAAGTTTTGCAGTTGTCCAGAGTGCCCCTTCTCTACTACTGAAGGCACTTTATTATTCCCTGCACCTACTGCAGACCTGCACTGTTCGAGGTCTCCGTAGCCAAATACATCCCACTGACCATGTGCTGCAACCTGCCGGGAGGTGGAGAGCCTTTGCCTTAGTTTCTCCTAGGCTGGAAGAGAACCAGTTCATACGGAGCACCTGGTGGGTTGCCGTACAAAGCTAGCGGGCTGCATTTCGTCTGCAGAGCAGGCACAGCGCAGGTCTGGCCAAGAGGCTGATCTCTATACCTTTTCGTGACTTCTCGCCTTCCTTTTCCTCTGCTGTCCAGGGACCTTCTGCTTTCTGCAAACACGCTTTGAAGCCACTCAGTGCTTTGCCCAGGGCCTGTTTGAGGCAAAGGTAGCCTAGCTAGATGGCAGGGAAGAGCTCCCTTCTGTTCTCCTGAGTGCAGAGCGTACCAGGCGTGCCAGCAGCCCGTCCAGCTCGTGCGCGCTCTCCCTCCTCCCGTCCTGCAAGCGCCAGCATACTGACGTGCCTCTGTCCCCTTTCTGTCTCAGATGGCGACCCAGACGGGCGCGTGAAAGTCAGGGTCACTAAAGTAAGGCCAGGTAGCGCTCGGCAGAAGGAGCTGCGAGTCCAAGAGATGAGCAGGGACAACCCGCAGCTGCGCCACATAGAGAGTGTGGTTAAGGACCTGTTGGAGAAGGAAGGCCTGAAGGCAGAAGGTAATAATGCAGCCGTGCAAGCTGGGCAGCGGGTGATAGGAGATGCTCGCGAGCCTTTCCCTAGGCCGGGAGGGCACAGGGTTTTGGGGAGAGGCCGCCAGGAGAGAGCAGTCAGGGACCCGAGCTCACCCAAGGACTGGAAGGCCCGTCTGAGAGGAGAATCTCAAGACATTATCTGATTAATGCCTTCCCCAGAGGAGGTGTGTAAGGCCAGGGCTGCCCCCATTTCCTTAATTAAGGGAGCAGTTGTGAAGGGGCTGTAATTCGTCGATGGTTGTTTCTCCGCCACTCACAGTCCCTGCAGTTCGGGCTTTAAAGGATCTAGAAAAGGCCTCTAGCTGGTGCTGTGTTTGAGGCTGCCCGGGCCAGCCTCACAGCCTTCCTCCGCAAGCGGGTGCTTTCCCCATGGGTTGGACTGCAGCTGGCTGGGCATGAGGAGAGTTGCATTTCGACACATCGGGTGGTACCGGACTGGGAAGGAAGGCTGCAGCATCGGGGTAGGCAGAGAGCTCTGTGCTCTGCCTTGGTCGAAAGCAGATCCGCGCATCCAACACCAGCTCCCCTATGACTGCCGAAGGCCCACCACTGTTTGTGCGGATCTTGTTCAAGGAGGCATCGGGTGGCAACTGCGCCTTTTGAAGTATGACCACAAGGTCGTACTCCTGCAACAGCAGGAGGCTGGACTCGATGGCCTTCATGGCCCCTTCCTACTCTACTATTCTGTGATGCTAAGGATTGCCGCTGGCAGCTACTTTTGACATGGAAAGTCTATCTTTATTTGAATCACTCTTAAAAGCAACGACATCACCCCAAACCAAACAATTTACAGGACGCTTTGAGTCATGATTCATCAAGGGGTATGCTGAAATTAGGAGAGTAAGACACAGACTTCTAAAATTGGCATGTGTTTTTAAAGTGAATTCAAACCATATAACCAAACATTAATGTTTAATGCTGAACATTAAAGTAGCGAAAAAGTATGGATGGGCAGCAGGTTGTTGTTGAAGTGGATCCCACTGTGGTTTGCATCTTTTTTTATATATCAGTTTTGATCAATCAACTAGTCTTTTGTCAAAACCAGAGCATTTAAGAAGGGGAAAATATCTACATGCTTGAGGCCTAGACTCGACTGAGTAATCCATCATTTTCTTGTATAAAATAAAATTGTATAAAATTTCTTTCTTTTTATAACACACACACGTATATGAATCTATACAGTATATAAGACAATGTCTGATTCTTCTTTTTGAATTCCCAGTAGATTGTGAGCAGTGTAATGAGCAGAGCAACCCAAAGTTGCAGGCCTGCTGGTTGGAGGGGATGGAAGTGCTCCTCTCCTAGCGAAAAGGACTCCCACCATCAGCAGTGTGTGTTCTGGGGATCCATTGCAGAGACCCCAGTGCACCTGTAGCAAGCCTCTGTGTGCAGAGGTTTGCCAGTGCGGGCCCCAAAACAAGGTGTTGGGACCCAAGCCTATGCATCTTTAGGCAGAAGAAAGGCCCGGGAGCTCAGCTTGCCGCAGCCGGCTGTGCTGGGCGTTGTTGGCCCCTTTTCTGCCCACACATGCACAAGATGGTGCCCACGGCCGCCTTCCCATGAGCCCCTGTGCCTCAAAGCTAGTGGCCGTCCTCCTTGGGACTCCTGCATGGGGAAGCCTGGCGCTTCTCGAGCTGAGGATCCGTGTGCGGCCACAATCCCCCACAGCCCCACTGCAGCCGTGGGCGCGGCAGGCTGCCTGCCTGCCTCAGTCACTTCTCCTTCCCACCCCACACTGCTGTCAAAGAGGCCCTCGCAGCTTAATCCTTTTGGCGGGGTGGGGATCTTGGGGGGTCCACATCCTCCGCCTCTCCCACTTTCCCCATGCTCTTGTCTTCGACCCTTGTAGAAGCACGCAGCACTTTGCTCCTTGGCAGTAAGAGGAGAGCCGGGGAGACACGCATGACTTACAGCCAAACCCCACAAGAAGTCACTGCGTGTGTGCACGCACACACTCCTTGGGTGCCCCCAGGTGGCTGGAAGGGAGCAAACTACAAAGCTGCCTTCTCTGCTCCGGCTCTGCTTTACTGGTTGCTTGGCGTTTTGAGAGCCGGGCCGCATCAGTCCTCTTCAAACAGGGAAGCGTGACTTGTGGCCCTCTGGCTGCTTTGGCCTACCAAAGCAGGCACCCATCAGCCCTAAGTGCCATAGCAAGTGGTGAAGGATCCTGGGAATTGCACGCTGCCAAAATGTGGTGGGTCACAAGCCTTACCTTGCCTTCCTTCCAAAATGAGACTCTTCCTGCGTCTCCTTGGAGCGTAATGGCAGCCGACACATCTGGCCACACAGTGCTCTCCCGCTTACCTGCTTCCACGCTGCTTCACTGGCAGGTGTTTGCAGGGGCAGGGAAACACTGAACAACGCGATGCTGTCCTGCCCTTCCACCTTAACCAAGTATCACTGGGAGAGGCAGGGAAGGAGTGCGGCCAGCCGCAGTTGCACCTCGAAGATAGCTCTCTGTTTGCACCAGAGAGAATTATCTTCTCTCTGGTTGTGGCCCGGAGCCAGGCTAGTGGTCCCACGGCTTGATCTCTTGCCCCAGCATCTCCCCCTGAAAAACAGGCCTGTGCCGCCTCTTTTCCTGGCAGGGAGAAGCTGCTTGGGAATGTGCGAAACCTCCCCAGCATGTTCCTGCACCAGGCTGCTGAACCTCTTTCAGCCCGAGTGCTGACCGGTTTGGGGAGGAGCTTGGGCTGCATGCCAGCAGAGGGCAGGGCCAGAACGCCACCCACCTTAGCCTGAAGCGCTGACTGCTCGTCACGGAGCTGTTGGAGAAGCACACCTGCCTTTTCTGATGAGCCTGGGGGTCATCCCAAAGCCAGGAAGCCATCAAAGGCCTTCTGGCAGGGAGAAGGGCTTTCTGAGGAATGCCAGAGGGCTCGAGTCAGACTCCAGGAGGCCAGGCTTGGCCTGCAGGCCTGAGGTGCTGCACCCTGCTATTTGCCGTTCTCCTAAATGTAACACACGGAGGATTTCACGGGCTGTCTAATGTTCGGCTGACTATGTGGCCGGCAGGTAAAATTGAAATCAAGATTGTGACAACGGGTGGCCTTGGGGAGGAGGATGACACCCACTGGCTGTCAGAAGAGGACACCAAGAACCTCAAGGACATTTTCTTCAATATTTTGGTGAGGACCTAGGATGCACCATTACCCTTGTTTGAGTGGGGAAAGCCGTTTGAGTGAGCAGAGGAACTGTGTGGAAGTCCTGCCTTGGCGTGTGGGAGATGCAGAGGCTGGCTGCACTTTGGGTGACTGAGGGAGGGGGGTCGTTCTGCCCACGGCCTGCTCTTGCGCCCTGCCCCATGCGTTGGATCCGGGTATCGGCATGTGCATCTGGGCGCTGCAGCAGCCTGCTTCTGCCAGCCCCTAGTCTCCTGAAAATGCTACACAGTAGCCCACAGCCAAGACGGGACCGTGGCTTGACTGGGTTTACCTTATCCAGGCACTTAGTTCATGGCTTGTTTGATGATTAGATTAAATTTAACCTAATCCAGGTTACTTTTATTTAATATGCCTGTTTTAAACCAACATTTTAGCTATGGTTAGTTTGAATTTCTTGTGAAGCAGCCAGAACCTATGGGAATGGAGGGGGTACATTAAAATCTGAATACAAAAATAAACCATGAGCAGCCCATGAAGAGTCTCTGTTGGGCGAGCTGTGGGTTGTTCAGCATGCTTCTGTTAGCCCAGTAGGGATCAGAAAAGAGGGCAGCTCACAGCCCCTTCAGTGCTTGACTGTGCATCTTGGTGCTGTCTGAGCCCTGTCACAGGGTCCAGGAATGCTTCCGAGGAGGCTGTGATGCAGGCGGGAAGAGAAGGGAAGGGAAGGAGCCCCGAGGTTTCGCCCTTCCCATGGCAGGAGGTGCCTTCAGTAAGCAGAGCTCTTCTGTCAGTGGGAGGCAGACCTCGGATGGAACCCAGCATTCCTTGAAAGAGAGAGCCTTGCCACGGAACAGACCAGAGGCTGCCTGAGTTGGCGGAAAGTTGAGGCCCCTTAGAGCGGGCAGATTGGGAAGCATAGATGTGACCCACGGTGCAGCTTCCCCACGGTGCAGCTTCCCCACGGCCGGCCCCACGGTTCATTTGCTTGAAGGTGCACGAGCTGCTTTCCCGGCAGGAGGAGGGCAGGGCTTCCCTGCCCCCCAGCTTGGCCCTTGTTGCTGGCAGTGTTGGGGGACAGTGTGTGAGGCGGTGTGCCGTGTGGCTTTCCCGCCTTGGGCACGAGAATGTCCTCAGCGTGTCTCCTGCCGGGGACGCGGGTGGAGCGTGTGTTTGTGCGTGTGCTCACGGCCTTGCCTTGCTTTCTTAGATCCAGGGCACAGAGGAAGCTCACAAGGAGCAGAGGCGGCAGCGCCAGCTGGAAGACAACTACCGTTTTGTGTGGGGGCGCAGCCAGGAAGAGCTGCCCACTGCCGGCGGCACCGACTCCGACGAGCTGGATTTCTGAACTGTGCCAACTGTCCAAACTCAGACGATGGTGGCTGTTCCCTTGCAGGACTGGGCCGGCGCCTCCTGGCTGTGTTGCCGGGAGAACCAGCACGCTTCCCCACTGAGCAGAATCCCCTTCGAATGTGCACAAGGCACGCGTGAGGGGCGCCCCCTTTTCACAGGGGCAGACTGTCCTGGTCAGGCCCTCTGCTGTGGCGTGAGTTTGCCTGAGGCACCCCAGCCACGCTTTCTCAGCACATTGTTTCCAGGAGCTGCCTCCAGTGGCAGCAGTGGCATTTCCACGGGTGCCAGGCTCTTGGCCTCAGTTTCCTGCCAGTGGCGCTCACCCTCGGGACGCAGACGGCAGGCAGCTCCCTGGCCTTTCCTCTGTGGGAGCCATGTGCAGCTGAGGCCTTGGCCTGGAACTGCTCGCTCCCCCATGCAAAGGAGAGCCCTCAGGAGAATCCCTTTGGGTCAGTGCAATCTGGAGTTGGGGTGAAGACCTGGAACCGGCGCCCATCTGCTTCTCACACACTCAGCCTTGTGTGCTTTGGAGGAAACATCAGCCCCGGGCTTGTGTGGATGGCTGAGTGTCACCTGCGTGCCTTGAAATGTTGAACTGGAGGAGAGGGTGCTCTTTCCCTTTCCTGTTCTGGCCTTTTCTCAGCATCCCTCCTCTCTTGATATGCTCCTGAAGCGTTTCGTGGGCTGAAAGCGGCTCTTCCCCATCATACCAACTGCTCCCTGCCCACCTTTACACTTGCGCAGAACCAATCTGGCATGCAGGGATGCAGCCTTTGGCCAGCGATAGCAGGAAAGAGAGAGTGCAAAGGGAAGGAAGGGGTGGGGGAGAGAAGGATGCAGGATGCTGCTCCCGAGCTGCATCGTCTCACCTGCACCAGGCCTTCGACGGAGGAGCGTGTGGACTGCATAAAAATGGAACCTCCCCACAAGTGCAGGCTGGCTCCTCCAGGCTGCTCTTGCAGTGAGAAATGAGCCACTGCAGATTCTGAACAATCGGCCACTGAACGGGTGACTGGAGGTGAGGAATCACTGCCTGCCCGGGGAAGGAGCGATGCCAGAAGACTCCTGCCACCTTGCTGACTTGGCATATGTGGGACGATTCTCAATTCACTTTTCTATCAAATAAATCCAGATCGACCCAGCCTAGATTTTGTCGTTTGATTCAGCGTGTGCAAACACATCAGAAGAGGTCAGGTTACCTCTTTTGGCATGTTGCCGAGGAGAATTCAGTCAGGTTCAGCGGAAGGCATTCTTTTGTCTAGAAGGTGAATACATCTTGCATGTTGTCAAGGGTTGGTGCAGTTCTCCTCATGAGCGATCTTGAAGGGGAAGCTCCTCCCACAGTCGGATGGGCCAGACACCACTTGGCACAGGGCTGGATCGTGGAAAGGAGGCCGTGGCTGGACCACATGCTGTGTGGAGGGAGGCGTGCGTAGGCCAGCCTGATGGGTTTTACTGGGTGGATGGGGTAAACCTGCCCAGCTGCTCCCCACCCCCAGCTAAATTCACTTTCCTCCTGTTTGGGCGCTATAAGTAGAAAAGGGGCCACTGTCCCTGCCTGCTTCCGCTAAAGCGATAAACTGCAAGGCTCAGTTGCTCTCTAGGGCAGCATGCAATTCAGTCCTTGGGCAGGAGCTGCGACAGGTGCCACCCTCCTCTGCTCTCAGCTGCCAGGCAGCTTACCCAGCTATCTAAACAGCAGCTGAAACAATAAGACACCATCACTTGCAGTCGCTGGCAATGCCTGCCTTCTAGGACCAGCGTTGCATCCACGTTTGTGTCTCCTTAAGTAAGTGGAGGCGGGGGGGGGGGGTTGCATGGCCTGCCCACAAGGGTGTGCAATTAGATGCCCGTCAGCGTGTCTCTCCGCTTGTGCGGCAGGTCCCAATTGTGCGTTCTCGCCGTAAAACAGGCTACACATGCAGCAGAGCACCTGGAGGAGGGAGCCCCACGCCTCCTTTCCCAGAGCGCCACTTCATGCAGGACTGGTCGGACTAGCTGGTGGGAAGAGGATATTTAAAAAAATGCCCTGTGAACATGGCCATTTGGTACCCTTGAAATGTGGCCTTACACATCAATGAAGAATCGCTTTGTGGGCCAGTATTGCCAAAAGCTGAAAAGATTGATGTTTGAGGCTGTGGTGCTTGAGAGCAGCTTTCCCATGCCTCTGGCCAACAGTTTTCCAGCCTACTGCTTGATACTTGGGGACTGTGTATGAATGGGATTCTCTACTGTTGAGCTACAGGCCCTGCTGCTGGAGCGAAGCGGGGGCAACCTGGAGGCCAAAACATCCAGCAAGGTACAGTTCCCATCCACCCTGGCCAGAATAGCCAGTGGTGAGGGATCCTGGGAGCTGTAGACCCCAATAACTGGAGGGTCCCAGCTTGCCCATTTCTGCCCCGAGGGATGCAGAGAATCGGGCTCATCCAGTTATCCCAAGCTCTTTGTCAGGAAGGCCATAGTCATCACCAGCTGCTTCTCTGGGATCCTGTGTCCTCAGTGCTCACTGCCCTATTGCGAGGAAGGGCAGGGCACCCTCGGATGACTGAGAGGCCTCTGGTCAGCTTGGCATTCCTAGGCCTTCCGGTGCACATGGTCCAACAACCTTGCAAGGGAGCGTTATGCTGAGACACATCACCGGCCCCATGAGCTCCGTAGCTGAGTGGACATTTTTAAGGCTGACTCTCCCGGCCCCTAATCCAGCATCTGGTCATCCTCAGGAGACCATACAACTGGCCGTTGTGCCGGGGAGTCATACTGGCCATTTTTCCTGGGGTCAGAGCCCCAGAGTGCCTGTTGGCAATTGGTGCTTGGCACATGCAAGTGTGCCGTCCCGTGGCAGCTTTCCCAGGGTGGCGCCCACCCGGTTTTTTTAGGCTTCAGCTCCCATCATCATTGCCCATGCACCAGGCTGGCTGGGGCTGGTGGAGAATGTAGTCCAACACATTGGGAAGCCCTTCCACTGGAGAAGGCTGCTTATACAAGCGTAAGCTGCACCTCTCACCTCTGATGCAAAGAAGAGGCCGAGGAAGCCTGGAGCCATGAAGGAACTCCTCAGGTCGACTCTGCCCCTTCCAGGCAGAACAAGACGGTCCAGTTCACACGTAACAACAGCCCAGAGCATGGATCAAAAGCATGAGTTGCTTTTGGATCATGGGTTGTTAAGCATGTGAACCCTGCCCTATGTTTGTCCATCACAGAAAAGCTCAAAGGGGAAAAGGCAGCATTTGTTGTTCAGGAGAAATAATATGATTTCAATAGAAACGCAGTGCACCTCTGCCATTCTTTGTCAGGTTGGGTTAATGTTCACCAACCACCCTCTTTTGCAAGATGACCAAAGCACTGAACAATATATAACACTGAAAGACTGCTCTGCCCGCTGTAGCCTGACCATCTAAAGCGGCACGTGTCATCTTGATAACATGGGCAGACATCATCTGCAGCCTGCTTGCTGCCGGCCTCCTTCAGCCACTTCTCGTGCAGCCTGTGGAGCTGTGAGGACCCTCCCCAAACTCCCCCTTCTTAGTGCCAGCTTGAGAGAGCCTGTTACCTCCCTTGCTAGTCCTTGACAGAGCGGCTCCCTAGATTTTTTTTTTTTTTTTTTTTTTTTTGGAAGCTGGATTCAGAAGGTGAAAGAAGATTGAGAATATCATTATTATGAGGAACCCAAGGTGGCTCACATAGCTCCATTTTATCCTTGGAACAACAACCCTGTGAGGTAGGTTGGGCTGAGAGTGTGATTGGGCCAAAGCCACCTGTATGTCACAACCCCGAAAGTGGCAAAAATCAGCAGGTCAGCAGAATGCCTTGAAAGTTACAGTATTTGCTAGGGGAGGGCCCCTGAGTCCCATGGTGTGATGGGGCTTTCAATGGTGCACTGGAAGTGGGTTCAGGGGAAGGCATCCAAAGTCAGTCCTCGACGCCCACCCTGCAGATCACGGCCCTGAAAGTGGCCAAAATGGGCAGGTCGGCAGAATGCTTCCAAATTTGCAGTGTTTGCTAGGGGAGCTCCCCCAATACCCATGGTGCGTCGGCCCTTACATGGGGCACTGCAAGTGGTATCGGGGGAAGGCGCCAAATATCGACCCACGACACCCAAAATCAGCCAGCGACACCTACCTATACAAACAGAAATAGATTTGGTTACAGATCAACAACAGGCTGAGCTAAAACTCAAGGCAGAGATAGAAGTACAGCCAAGAGAAGATCTGGAATTTCCTGAACAAATCTACAGAACCCTTCGAAACTACTGATGGCGCTGGAATGGTCATCCATATCAAGAAATCCAGAAAAAGAAAAAGCCTTCACCAGATCTGTCACTCTGGATGCCCTCTATAGGATTTTTATCCCCAGACAGCCAGCCGCATCCATAACTTGCCCTGAATGGCTGGAGGAGTCCAAGCTCATTAGAACATTCCAAGAAATACCTAGGCAATGGCAAGTTGCCCCGAGAGCGAAAGGCCCACTGATATGGCAACGGATAAACAAATGGAATTCCATGCTGCTGAGCAAGATCTTTCCTGAGTGGCTGTTGATCATTGTTGTCAATTTACAACATTTTGCTAAACTCCTGAAACAGAACCAGGATGCAAATGATAGAACTCCTCCCGTGCCTGTGAGGGTTCAAGAGAAATTGAAATGACCTAGAAATTAAAGTCTTTAAGACGATCTCCCTGTATGGAAGAGCCACCTGACAAGAGAAGGCTGGTAGAGGGAGCATGACTTGCCGCCATGAAGATGGCAGCACAGGAGATCTGCTCCACCCCAATCCAGTCTATTATGTAATAATTAAACATGTTTTCAAATGGAGTAGATTAGAAATAATTGTGAAGGTGCATAAAGATGGGTAAGCCAAAGAAGATGTTGCAAGGAAAAACACTGGATGCCTTCTTGAAGAGGAAGATCAAGCAAATCTGCTTGATTCCAGTCCTTACTGGAAGATACAGCAAAAAACATGGTAAGATAAAAGGGAAGGGGCAGAAAACAAAGAAAACTGAAATAGTTGCTGATTAAGAAGGAGATATGAAGCTGCTTTTACAACAGTTAAGGAAGGATTTGCAAGTGGATATGAAAACTGTTATTGCTTCTCTAAAGGAAACATTGTCTGAAGTTAAGAATAATATTGAGAAAATTGAAAAGATAGCTAATCAGGCATTTGAACTTGCACAAGAGCAACAAGAAAGGACTGATATTCTGGAGAATGACTTAAAACATCTATGAGATAAGGTTGAGGATCAAGAGAACCATAACTGCTGCCACAACATACATTTAAGATTTTTCAAGGAAGGGGAAAAAAGAGAAGAGGTAAAAGATGTAATCTTAAAATGGATGAAAGACCTTTGCCCTGCCCTAGAGATAACAGAAAATCACTTGGAATGCATTCACTGAGTTGGTGGGAGACCATGACCAACAGAGAGACATTAGTGTAAGATTGGCCTTTTATACAACAAAAGTGGCTGTTTACCACGCTCTAAACAATATAGGGTACTTAATATATGAAGGAGAAAGAATCGAACCTTATCAAGATTTGACTCCAGAAACAATTCAGTGACAGACAGGATGGAAATGGTACACAGAAGAGCTTCGGAACCAAAATATAAGATACAATTGGGGATTTCCATTTAAACTGATTATTGGGCATGGTCACTAGTCCAAGAATTAGAACAGAAATAGCAAAACTACAGGATTTTCTTAAGGAAATAAAGATATAATTTCCAGAGACTGCAAGAGAGAAGATTGCACAAGTTCAGAATGAACATACATATCAAAGGCAACTCCAATGGAACATAGTTGGGGGAAAAATCTGTTAAAAATTAGATTCTTGCTTGCAGTATCTGAGTTTTTTCCCAAGGACATGTCATACTGTTTTTTTCTGTTGAGAAGGGAAAAGAAAAAGAAAAAAGTGAGGCTGAGGCTGTAACTTATCAGCTGTTTTTCCAGGCTGCCTGGCAAGTGGAAAGTAATAAGGAGATAAGAATATAACTGGCAAAATTATGGATAGAAAAATTAAGAACTTAAAATAAGTTATAATAATAGTTTATGCATGTTTGTTTGGATATATTCTGATGTTAGAAGGCAGGATTGGGCGTGGGGGAGATTTCGCCTCTGGAGGGAAACTCGGTGCCTCAGTTGTACCCACATGGAAC